TTTCGTACCCGGAGAAAGCTGGGATCACCGATTCGGTGTTTGCGATTCAGGGGGCCCACAAAACGCGTGGCGAGCCCCAGTTGCTCATGCGCAGAGTGGCGCCTTCCCTTGCTGTCTTCGGTTTCTTCGAGATTGGTCGCTGTGGGCGCGCTGACATGCTCGCCGCGGCGTGGCGGCAGTCGCCCCGTTGATTATCCATGTCCTCTTCCTCGTCTGCTACACCGGCTTCCCCTGGAGGGGGGGCGCCCAAGACGGTCTTGCATGGCGCGCGGGCAGAGATGCAGCGCTGGGACATCCACGACCGTTGTCTTTCGGGTGCTGGCGCGGCGAAGGTCGCAACAGAAATTCAACTGAACCTGCAGCGTGGGCTTTACGCGATCCGAGGGCGATGCTCGCGGTGGGTTGCGGAGAGTTCGCTTTCGCCCGCCGTGCTCCGCTTCCGTCTTTGGGGGGCCCGCCCACTTTGCACTGGCGCCCAGACTTTGGCGCAGTTTGACCGTTTGTGGTATTCAGGGCGCAGCTGAAATTCTTGTCAAATTCAACGTTCTGCCGCGGTGGCATCTGCTCCCGATGAACCGTCTGCGCGGGAAATGTTCGACCTCTCGGCCATGTGAGTTCACGCGCAACATCAGCAGGGGGATACATGCGATCACATGACAGCAGCGCCCATGGTCTACTAGCGCGAGGAGTTTCGCGCTCGTCTGCGCGCGCGGTTGCGGCGGGACGCGCTGCCCCACTTGACTGGCGCTTTTCCCCGCGCCAGCTTGGCGGGCTCAAGGGCCTCGCTGGCGCTGCAGCGCACGATGCTCTCGAGCAGTTCCTCGTGGATGACCCTCGGGGCCCCCGTTCCCGAGCGGATCTTTGCGCGACAGGCGGCCAGCGCGACGCGGCGACAGGACGCGTCTCTGGCGCAGAAGGTTTGCAATGCGTTGGGGGATTCGCTTCCGCGCGCGGGCGTCGCCGAGCGCTGGGTTCCTCCAATTCATTCATCCGCCGTTTAAGCATGGGCGGGCGCTGTGCGACGCGCGGATGCTGAACAAGAGCTGGGGAATCTGCGCCGCGCGGTTCCTCGTGCCCGCAGGCGCGCGAGGCCCATGGCATGCGTTATCTCGGCGATGGAGAGGAAAGCACCGCCGTGGCTTCCATGCGCCACGTGCGAAAAGATTGACGCAGCGAGCGGCCAGGGCCAGCGACGTCATCCATGCCCGCTCCCTGGACAAGCTCAAGGCTCTGGCCGATTATTTGGCAACGATATCGGTGCGCCCAACGTCGTTCCCGAGACTCGCTGGGCGCTGCGCCGAGAGGGCCATCGCCCCCCGCTCGTTCGCCCGCGCGGGGCCGCCGCGTCGCGCTCTGCTGTTGCGAGCGATGTCTCGGCTCGCCCCCTCGCGGCCTGGGGGGCCGTTCTCGCGCCGGGCGCCGCCAGGGCCCCTGGGGCAGCGAAGCGCGGGCGCGAGGATAATTGCGGCCACGTCCAACGCGGCGTTGGCTCCGATCACCCAGCGCACTACTCCGGCCACTCAGCCGAGATCCATTGCTGGGGGGCGGCTCGCGTCGCGCGCCGTTGAGCTGGGCGCGGCTGCCAGGTCAGCGTCGCTCGCGCCCGACATCGCGCCGCGGCAGCCGACCCCCGCGGCGCTGGAGTTTGGTCGGGTCTTTCCGAGCCTCAACCAGCATGGACTTTTCACGGTTCTCGACGAGCTACGCATGTCGTCTGCTATCTGTGCGGTCATTTGGTTTCGTCGCGCGTTGGTCTAGCCGTCCAGCGCGCTGGCGGGGCTGCCTGGGTCTCTTTCATCCTCTGCGGGGTCATTCAGGGTCGCGAATATGGAGCTCAAGCCACCAGGGTTTATCTTGTTTCCGCTCCATGGTGCGCTTGCGCCGATGATCGAAGAGCCAATCCAATCGTTCCTTCGCGGGGTCACCCCTGCGTGGTCGGATTTCAAGTTAGGAGATCGGGCCCTGCACGTGGGTGCTCGGCGAGGCCTGTCAGCTGCCATATTGCAGTCTTGGGCGGCACCCCGGGCGAAGCGCAAGATTCGGGCGGCGCCTCTCGCGGCTTCTTCCGCGCTGACGTCGTTGAAAGCCCTGGGCCCCATGATCCGCGCGCTTCCCACAGCGCGGCGCTTGGCAGTTCCCCCCCTGCCGAGCAAGATACTGAACTTCGACGTCCGCGCCCTGGCGCGGCTGCTGCGGCTTCCTTGCGGTGCGCTTCGCTGCGTGGAGTTATTCTGCCTTTGCCGCTGGGGGGTCCAAAGCTTCGCTCGCTGGCCGCGTCCGCCGCGGCTGCGCTTGTTCGGTCGGCAGTGGTCGCGCATTCTGAACGTCGGCGTTATATGCAGCAAGTCCGCCTTATCTCCGAGCTGTGGATACAGCGTCGCCCCCCCCCCCCTGTGGCCTTGCTGGCTGGTTATCGCCGCCCTTCTGGGCCACGACCTCATTTGCGAAGTGTTCCGAAGCAGCGGCGGATGCCTCCCGAACACCGCGCGCCGCCACAGCATAGGGGAATTCTTTCTCAGCTGAACTGGCGCGCGAAATCTGGCGCAGAAGGTGGTGCGCTCTGCATTTCTCATCGGCGCGTCGTGCCCTTTCCGCGCCGCTCCCGCCGGCGCGGACCCCCCCCCATGGTGGGCCCTATCGTGGGCCGTCGGGCCAAATGCTCACCTGACCGGTTTCTTCGTCGCCAACGGGGCTGGTTGGGCTCGCCGCAGAAGCTGCGCCCGCGCCCCGCTGCTCGGGCGTTCGGCATCTTGCGCGCACTGGTCGGCGGGCGTTTCACGTCAGCAAGCGTCGCCGCTGCTGGTAAGCTGCGCCGTTGCATCTTTGGGCTGAATATGGCGATGATGAGATCGGTCAGATACTGCAGCAGCCAAGTTAGGTCGGCGCCATCCGCTTGATGGGGGTGGTCAAGACAGTCGGTGGCCCTGCGGCGCGTTCGACGACGACCTGCTGAATGCGCTACTCGCCCCATCATGTAAAACGCCGTTCGCCGCGTGTTGTCTTATACTCGATGCTGCTCGCGCCGCGCTCAGAGTTCGCGCGCTGGCGCACCCTGGCGGCTGTCGGGCGCGGCGTGGTCCTCGTCGCCCGAATGCCCTTTCAAAGCTCTCACGACCGCTGCCTCCGCCTGCCGCTGCCCCCCGCCCCTGCCGCGCCAGCGTCGCCTTGGGCGAGGTTCCGCAGGGTCGCCTCAGCAACCGCGACAAGATGCCGCATCGCGTGCGCTTTCCAGAGCTTTTTGGCGAGACGCGGCGCGCGCCGCTTGATCCTCGCCTTGGCGGTGCGGAAATACAGGAACACTGGCAGGCGCTGTTGGTGAAGACTTCTTTGCGTGCGCTCAGCTGGTTCGCCCTCCCCCCCAGTGGGCGACGTCGGGCACGCCGGCTTCGACCTTCTCGACGACGACGACGACGACCGTCTCAGTCACTCTGTCTTTGAGGCGCTCTTCTCTGTTGTCCCTGCTCCACCTGGCGAGAGGGCCGCGTGGGCCTCCGCCGTCTGCCGCGCGGCTCGGGGAGGCTCAGCCGATCGGCGGGCTCGCCATTATTCGCGTTCGATCCCGCCCCGGCATGGCCGATGCTATCTGCGACTTTGCTGTAAGTTCCCGCGCAGGGGAACCCGTGCTGCAGCGCGCGTGGGTAGCGCATCGCGACGGTGCGTCTCTCCAGCATCGACAATATTTAAACGCCGCTGTGAGTCCCCTTGCTCTCGGCGCCCCGCGCCATCTTCACCCGCTGCTGTTGCCGGTTCAACTTTTTTGGACCGTGCCTCGCTCGAGTTAGACATTGGCGCGGATGAAGTGCTTTCTCGGGAGGTGGAGAAGCGCCCCACATGGCCAGGACTGGCGGGGCCCGCGCGGGCACGGGCGCGGGCCGGTCGGGGGCCGCGCCGCGCACTTCGGCGAGCTGCGTCACCCCGGAGAGGGTTGAGACACAGCGCCCTCGGACAATAGGCGGGCAGGGGGGGTCCTAGAGGGCCCGGCGCTAGGCGCCGGGAAGCGGCTGGCGAGAAATGATCGTCGATCTGCTAGAACGCAAGATCCCGAGGAAGCCCCCGCGGCGGGGAACGCCTCGGGCCCAGTTTCGCCACGACGTTTGTTGCAGGGGAATGCTCCGCGGGGGAACGCCTCAGGCGCGCAGTCGCCACGCTGGGCGCGAGCCCCCCTGCCGGATGTCGTCAGGCGCGTGGACTTCGGGGCCGCGCAGCTCGGCGGCTGCTCGGGCTTCCCGCCGCTGCGCCACCCCTTCCACGGGCAGCGGCGACGCGCGCTTGCTGATTAGATCTCCAGCCGGCCATGGAACTGGTTTCCCACGCTGCGCGTCAACCAGGGGGGCGGCGACTTCAAACAATGGGTGGATTGGTGTATATATTCTGCCGCTTGTGTCCCACGCTAGTCTGGGCATGAGAAAGTTCTCGCCGCCTTGCCGAGAGGCGCCCTTGGTGCGCGCCCCAGCAGCTCAGGCAGATGGAATCTAGCGTTCGGGCCATGTCTGGCAGGCCCGTGCTCTTCGGCCACTCCGCGCGAGCAGCTTCGATTGCGCATTGGCGCGGCCTGGCCGCTTCATGCTGCTCGGAGGCCGCTCGCTCTGCGCCGGTGCCGACGCGAACGCTGTCGCCGGCGCGGGCGGATTGCTGATATGTCTCGCGCGCGCGCCACTGAGCTGGGCGACGTTTCGGGCATCTGGATGGCGGCCAGCATCGAAGGAAGCATCGGTGGGGCCCAAGCCTGGCGCGTCCCAGCACGACCGACGCAATGTCAGGGTGCCGCGCAAAGACGTGCTCCAGGTGGGGAAGGCGCTTCTCCGAGCGATGCCGGGGGCGACCCGCCTGGCGAAGCGGAGGGCAGTGCTGACCTCGATGGGTTTCCCATTCCGTCGGCGGAGGACATCGCGACTATGTATCTGGAGTCTGAACCTGGCAGGCAGCGAGCCACTGGTCTTCCGCGCGCAATGAAAGCGCTTTTCGAAGATGAAATCATGGGCGCTGGAGAATGCGCGCGCCGCTTCGGCTCGGTCTTGGACGTGGACGAGTGCGTTGCCGACGCGCCGGCTGGTCTTGGCCTCTCTCGCGCGGGGGGAGATGGGAATCAGTCTGTCCCGACAGTTGCGGCTCTTAGTTCGGCTCCTTCTGCGATGGTTGATTATGATGATGGTGGGGTAGTGGCTAGCGACAGTGAGCAGGTGGGGGGCGATTGCTTCGACCAGCCGATGGCGTGGTGCGGCGTCGGCGCGGTCTTTCTTAATGGCTCAGTTGGCGGAGCGGCCATCCCAACAGTGGGCGATGGTGTTACCAGCGTGCCGGATTGTGATCCGACGGGGGCGGGCCCCCCCCGGCCTCTCGTGCTGACCCTTCCCATCGTCTTGTTGTGGGAACTCCTCCTCGTGGCGCGAGTGGCTCTCCTTTGTCTCCCATGTCCGTTGGGTTTCCGACGGGGGCGGGGTCTTTCCCCGCGACTTCTCTTGGACCAGATGAAACGTCGAACTCAGATGAGGACAACGACGTGGACAACGGGGTTTTGGCCGCTCCAGACGGAAGACCATCGTGGCCGATTCTACGGGCTGAGAGCGCTGCCGGCCTTGATTCCAACGCTGATCTCGACCCTGCAGTTCCAGCTCGCGGCGCAGGCCGCGCAGCCCCACAGCTTGACCAAGTTGGTGAGGTGGCCGCGCTAACTGGGGAGTTTTCTCCGCCCCAAAGCGCTGACCCCCGGGGCTCCCGCAGCAGCGCGCTGGTCGACGATGGCGATGCGATGGCACCTCGAGATGGGCATGAGGGCGCCGCAAGTTCGCAGCCTTCTGGGCCAGACGTGCTCCTGTCTCTCCGCCGTCATCGACCGACCAGTTCAAAATGTGCACGCAGATGGCGCTGGCCGTAGATGATGATGATGATGCTTGAGCTCTTCTGGACGCGACGCACATGCATGCTGCACTACTATAACAAGTGACACAGTATGACAGCTTCATGCAGGTGGCCAGAGAGGAGGAGGATGGAGTTCTCGCAGGTCATGACGGACTTTGGTCGTCCCGCTGATGGCGACCTCGCTCCTTGGTCGCAGGCATCATGAGCATCACCCGCATCCTTCGGGTCATGGTGTCCGTCCCTTTTCGCTTGTGAAAAACGTGGACACCGACGGCGTCATGGGCGTCATCGCCGGCTCCGCCGTCGCCGTCGCCGAGCACTCGGGCGAGGGCTGGGTCGACAAGTCGGGGTCGCCGAGTCGCCCCCGAAGCAGGGCTTCGCGGGGGGCGCGCGCAGCGCGCACCGCGCGGCCTAGGCGAGCCGACATTGGACCTCTCCGCGAGGCGCGGGCTTCCACTCCTTCTGTGAGATCCGGCGTCGCGAACGAAATGCATAATCGTAGAAATCACGACCGGGGCCCCAGAGCCGACCTTTCTTAACGCATTTTTCCAGCCGGATCGATATGTGAGGCTCCCAGGGCTCAGGAATGATTGAAAACGCCAGCTGGAAAAAAGCCTCGCTTGTACCTCATGGTCCCTCCTCCTCCCCGCTCATCCTCGTTTTGCTGTTCCTCCTCTTCTTCCTCCTCCACCTCATCCTCTTTCTCCTCCTCTCGCGAATACTCTTATCCTCTCTCCCCTGGTGGCGTCTGGGGGCTGTTCGCCCCCCCTTCCGCGTACTAGTTTTGTACGTCGGATTTCTGGGAGTTTTGTTTGTCTTTCCAAGTGTTGCTCTCGCTGAAGCGCTGATTTCATTTTCGGGCAACCGCTTGTTCTGAATCGTGCTCCCGCTGCAGTGCTGGCTTCATTTCTACGCATTCTTTCCAGCGCAATGCCAAGGCATGTCTTCCGGTCCTTCCAAGTAGGTTCCAATATCTAGAACATGCCCCCCACGAAAACAACAACATCGGAAGTGATTACACATTGGGTGCCGAGTAGTTGATTTTTTGGGGGCCGCAGAAGCCCCCCCTTGACTTTGGGGCGTCGCCGCGCCTTGCTATGTCAGGCTACGCGTCCTCATTTCCGCACTTCATCGCTCTTTCTCTTCAGAATGCCGCGCTCGCTGAAGCGTTGGCCTCATTTTCGGGGTACCGCTCGTTCCGAATCGTGCTCCCGCTGCAGCGCTGCCCCCATTTGCATGTTTCCGCTCGTTCCGAATCGTGCTCCCGCTGCAGCGTTGGCGTCATTATTTCCAGCGCCATGCCACGGCCTGCCTTGCGGTCCTACCAAATATGCCCCCTAATCTAAACAAAATGCATCCCGAAGAGACCATCGGAAGTGATTGCACATTCGGTGTCGATTCGTTGTTTTTGTTGGGCCGCGGTGGGGGGGCGCCACGCCATGCTATGTCATGCGACAGGTTAGTTTTCAACACCATTCTATGCCATGTGACTCGATGCTATGCTACGACATCCGATTGTGCGAATATAGAGGGGATCTGGCCATGGTAAGGGATGGGAGGGGGGGTAGGACGTCAGATATGACGTGAGCGCACCTAGCTTGTCCGCCTCCTCCTCCTCCGCCGTTTCCTCCTCATCATTCTAATCCTCCTCCTCCTCCAACTAAAAAACCTGATCCTCCACTTCTTTCTCCTCCTCTTCCTCCTCTTCCTCCTCCTCCTCGTCCTCCTCCTCCTCCTCTTTTCCTCATCCCCATCTTCATCTTCACTCTCTTCCTCGAAACACATCCTTCCTCAACTTTGTGTGTGTATCCTTGTTGTCCTTGTCCTCCTCTTCCTCTTCCCCCTCCTCCTTCTTCTCCTCTTTCTCCCCCTCATGAACATCCTCATCCTCATCCTCTTTCTCCGATTGAATCCTCCCCGTCCTCTTCTTTCTCCTCCTCCTCCTCTTCCTCCTCCTCCTCCTGGTTCTCCTTTCTCTCCCCCTCGCCCGGACTGACGGGTCGTTCCTCCTCCCTCCTCCTCCCCCACCTCCTCCTTCTCTTCCTCCTCCTCCTTTTCTTCCTCCACCTCCTCCTCCCCCACCTCCTCCCCTTCCACCTTTTCCTCCTGTTCCTCCTGTTCCTCCTCCTCCTCCGACGCCGACGGCATGTATATCGCCGTGGGTTATATTCGCTGCGACAGGCCGCACCCCGAGAGAGCACGAGATAGTCGTCGCTCTCAAGTGAGGGCCTTTTTGTTGTATTTACCAGAGGTGGCACCGCTCTGCCGAGATTTGGTGGCTCCCATCCCCGCTTGCAGTGTCGCCCTCTTTCCGCCGCTCGACCAGTTCGTCCGCTCGTCCCCGTTGCTTCCTCTGTGTAGCCCCTTCCCCTGCTGGCGGTAGCCTGCACCGGTGTAACCGCGCCTGTCGGCGCGACCCGCTGTGTGGTGTGCGCGCGTGTGTTTTTAACGGTTGTGCCATTACGTATAGAATCATCACGCTTCACCAGCCGCCAGGCTAGTCCATCTCGCAATTCTCGTGCAAGCTCCGACGCATATTTGTCCTGGTGAATCGGCTGCAAGACAGTACGCAGATGCACCCTTATGTAAGACGTATCTCTTGGTCTGATTCGCATCTGGCTGCCGAGCTTCTTCACCCTGGCTGTAGCGGAAACTCCCTGTCACGACTGGAAAACTCTGCGCACTATAAATACAGAGATGATGTGCGTTTCCTGAATTCAATTCGAAATCTAGGCCAGCCGACGGACTGATATGCACGCGAATCGACAGGGAATGCTGCGAAGCATCAGCCTACCTCCGCGCCCCTCCCCAGGGCAAGACGAAGACCTTCGAGCAGAAGGACCTCGCCGCGTGCCTGGCGCGCGTGGCGGCCCACGCCAAGGAGGGCGCGGCGCCCAAGCCCGACTACTCGGACCCGGGCGCCCTGAGCGCCATCCTGGCGAAGGAGGCCCGGGCGAAGGAGCTCAGGGTCCCTGCTCCTCCCTCCTCCTCCCTCCTCCTCCCTCCTCCTCCCTCCTCCCTCCCTCCTCCTCCCTCCTCCCTCCTCCCTCCTCCTCCCTCCTCCTCCCTCCTCCTCCCTCCTCCCTCCTCCTCCCTCCTCCTCCCCAGGGGGGCGGCCAGCTGCTGCAGCTCTGCGGGCGCGAGGCTTCGAAGCTTCGAGGTCCTCGGGCGCCCCCGTCGGTGCCTGGACGTCGTGCTGCCACGGGGTGTGATCCGGCAGCTGCGCCTCGCCGAGGGCGTCGGGGTCCAGAGCGGCCGCCGGAGGCCCGAGGTACACTGAGCGGCTTGAGTAAGGAACACTTACTTTTCAAAAGGGGCTCGGTCGTTCCTTGAGGCGTTACGTATCGTTCCTCATGCGTTTTTGTATCATGTATCGTTCCTTGTGCTGTGTTCCTTGGAAAACAGGGGCTTCGTTCCTTATTCATCGTTCCTTAGGTCAGGCCGATGACTGTATGGCCCGAACACCGAGACCAGTCAACGTCAAGGGGGGATGGGCTCTCAGGGGACGACGCATCGACCCCCAATCGGCCATTCATCGCTGATGGGGGCCAAATAACCCGCCGCGCCCAGGAGCGCGTGGACGCGCTATCGGGGGCTGAGTCGCTGAATAGATCGTCCATGTATCGCCGATACCAGCTCGGTGGTTCCCCCCTCGAGCCCGTCCCACCCGAACGTTCCCCATCAGGAGCTGGACGCCATGTTGGTGCGGCAGGCAATCGTCGAAGAAGAAACAGTGGCACAATTATGAACTTTCGGAGCTCCGTGTGGATTCATTGGATCGGCGCTGGCCCCCCTGGCGGCGCTTCTGGCGCCGCCTCTGGCGAACGCGCCAGGGACGGGGGCCTGGCGCCGATCCATGACATCCGCGAGGACCGCCGAAAGTCTACGTTTATAGCCAAGACGCTCGCTGAAATAAGGAATTTCCGTAGGTCCTTCCATCGCTGTTCCTCTGGCCCTCTTCGTGCACGCAGGAAGCACTTGGGGGCGAGCCTCGTTCCTTGTTTCAGCAGCCCGCCTGTACGCCGTTTCTTTTTTACTCGTGGCAGGTGTCCCACTGAGCGCAGGCCCGAGGAGGTGGAGCCACGGCCAGGGCGCTCGTCGCGAGAGGCCCCGAGGTCCACTGAGTTCACGAGGAGCTCCTGGCGGCGACGGCGGCAGGGTAAGCGCGGGGTGTCAGGAGCTTTTGGAG